AATAAATTCTGACATAAATGAAGAAAAACAGTTTGTTCCGCATTGCAATATAAAATATTTTTATTCAAATAAAATTTGAAGAACTAAGTAAATATAAAAATTATTTAATTGTACATTTTTGCAGTCATTTTTCCCTATATCCTGACTATTCTGAATCCAACAGTCTCCCATTTCCTGGTACTGAAAAACATCCCCAAAGTATGATGCTGTCTCCACCGTGCTTCACTGTGGGGAATGTATTGGCCTGGGGATGAGCAGTGCCTGGGTTCCTCTAAACATGAGTTTTGTTCTTATGGTCCTAAAGTCCACCATGTGGGCTGCTATTTGCCTTTTACTTAGGAGTGGCTTTTGTCTGGCCAGTCTACCATACAGACCTGATTGGTGAATTGCTGCAGAGATGGTTGTCCTTCTAGAAGATCCTCTTCCCTCCACAGAGGAATGCTGGAGCTCTGAAACGGTGACCATCAGGTTCTTGGTCACGTCTCTAAGGCTCTGATCCTCAATCCCTAGGTTTAGACAATCGTCCAGTTTTAGGGAGAGTCCTGGTGGTTTTGAACTGCTTCCATTTAGGATGATGGAGGCCACTGTGCTCATTGGGATTTTCAAGGCAGCAGAACATTTTCTGTACCATTACCCAGATTTATGCCTAGAGACAATCCTGTCTTAGAGGTCTACAGGCAATTCATTTTACTTCATTCTTGGATTGTGCTCTTATATGCAGTTTTAACTGTGGAAGCTTGTATAGAAAGGTGTGTACCTTTCCTAATTATATCCAATAAACTCAATTTAACGCAGGTGGACTCCAATTAAGCTGAACAAACATATCAAGAATGATAAGTGGAAGCAGGATGCTTCAGAGCTGAATTTTGAGCCTCATGGCAAAGGCTGTGACTACTTATGTACATGTGATATGTTAAATGTTTAATAAATTTGCAAACATTTAAAACTTTTTCACATTGTCAGTGTTGGGTATAGAATTTTGAGGGGGATTTATTTTTTTATTTTTTTTTGATTTTGGAATAAAGCTGTAACATAAAAAATGTAAAAAAAAAAGTGACGCATTTTGAATACTTTCCAGATGCACTATGAGGTAGTTTTTCACTGGCTGCAACTGTTGGAGAGTAGTTGGTAACATAAAACTGAAAATTCTGTTGGATTCTCACTTTAAGTGTTTCTGACCAATCAGTTGTTTTTTTTTTTCCTGTGTGCACAGCTTGCAAAACTCAAGTAACAAGACCACATGCCTCTGCGAAGAAATTGAGGACTCCTGCTGCAAAGGCTTTACGACATTCTAGAGACACTCTCGTGAATGTCATTTGCCATCTAGCAAATAACGCAGGCAGCACGATGGCTCAGTGGTTAACGCTGTTACCTCACAGCAAGAAGGTCCTGGGTTCAATCACCAGTTGGACCTGGGGTCTTTCTGTGTGGCGTTTGCATGTTCTTCTCAAGCTTGCGTGGGTTTTCTCCAGGTATTCCGGTTTCCTCCCACAGACCAAAAACATGCATGTTAGACTGATTGGTAACTCTAAATTGTCCCTAGGTGTGAATGAGAGAGCGAATGGTTGTTTGTCTCTGTGTGGCCCTGTGATGGACTTGCGACCCATCCAGGGTGTACCCCGCCCCTCGCACAGTGATTGCTGGACATGGGCACCGGCGACCCCAGTGACGCAAAATGGAAGAAGCGGGTAAAAGATAGTGGATGGATGGATGAAATTAAGGTTAATAAATAAATAATAACATCATATATTATATTATATTATGCCTTTACTGATTCAAGGATTCAAGGTTCTTTATTTGTGCATCACATGTACCACATGTGGTGTGAATACACCACATGTGGTACATGTGATGGAACGAAATTGTGTACACAGGGTCCCATTTACGTCCAAAAAAAGTATAAAATGTAAAAGAAAAACGGTAATAAGATCTAAGATATGAACTAAGAAAAACATGAACTAAAAATAATCTAAGCACTAGTAGGATAAAAACATTATGAACACGAACATGAGTCTGTGAGCAGATGAGAACGAATGAACACAGCAGCATGAAACAAATCAGCAGAATTTGATCAACAGCATCCTTATGTGATTTTCACAGTGATTATCCTGGTTAGAGATTCATGAGTCTAACCACATCAGGGTAGAAGCTGTTCCTCAATCTAGTGGTTCTACACTTAATGCTCCTTAACCTCCTGCCTGAGGGGAGCGGGGCAAAAAGTGTGTGTGCTGGGTGAATGGGGTCCTTCATGATGCAGGTGGCCCTCTTCCTGCATCTGGAGGTGTAGATGTATGTGATGGTGGGGAAGCTGACTCCAACAGACTTTTGTGCAGCCTTCACCACTCTCTGTAAAGCTTTTCTTTCTGCATCTGTGCAGCCTCCATGCCACACGTTGATGCTGGAGCACAGGATGCTCTCCACTGCACACCTGTAGAAGGAGGCGAGGACTGAGCTTCCCAGACCAGCTCGCCTCAGCCACCTGAGGAAGTAGAGTCTGATGAGCTTTCTTGATCAGGCTGGTGGTGGTGTTGTTCCAGCTGAAGTCGTCATTCAGGTGCAAACCCAAGTACTTGTAGCTGGAGACCACTTCCACTGCAGATCCTCCTATGTTCGGGCGTGTAGGTGTGTTTGTTCCTTCTGAAGTCCACAACCATCTCCTTCGTCTTCTTTACTTTACTTCTTTCTTCTTTATTTACTGATGTGCAAGTTACCACATCTTGTGCAATAATGCAGCCACCGACCATCACAGAACTGGAGTTTAAACTGTGTGTAGAAAAAAAAAAACAGATGGCCAAAGGACCATTTTCTACTTCATTTTAGTCAAATCTGAATGGACTGTTAATGCAGAAAAGGTTTCAGCAATGATTGTTGTTTAATGGTAGAACTCATGGTAGAAATTTAACCTACTTTTGTGTTTCCAACCAAAAGATGTGCTCAAAGATGTCTGGATATGGTATGTTTATAGGTTGACTTATTCTGATTCTTCTGATTCAGCAGAGGGCTGCTATCTAGGGTGTCTGGGGGAGCAGATGATGGGGGTTAAGGGCCTTGTTCAGGAGCCCAGAGCAGGGCAAATGAGGGTGGAGTCAGGTGTGGGTGTTTCACCTATCCCACTCACGTTTTGATGATGTCGCTACCGGGAGTTGAACCGTCAATCTTCCGATCACAAGCCCACATTCTCTAACCTCTGTGCCATGACTCCCACTACAGAATACTCTGTTTAAAGATTCCTTTTAGTTGAAGCGTTTGAACATGCAGTCTTTTTCATCTGTATTGTTGGTCAAAAATATATACAGTAGTCCCTCGTTTATCGCAGGGGGGATCCGTACCCTGAAGCCCCGCAATAAGTGAAAAACCACTAAGTTGGAACAGTAGTACAAGTAGTAGTTTTATTTTAGTATATATATATATATATATATATGTATATATATATATATATACACACACATATATACACACACACACACACCTCTGGGCTGCATAAATGTGTGTAGCGGGTGCTAAAAAATTAAAAATAATTTATTTTAAATAAAAATTCCATGCCGATTGTGCGGCTCATCCCTCAGTCAGCCAGCTGTGTGTCATGTCCAATCTTATTTTGAAAAACCGCGATAGAGCAAGTCAGTGAAAAACGAACCGCGAAGTAGCGAGGGACTACTGTATTGACCTCTTCGTAATTGGCATGGTACAATGAAACTTTGTCATATTAAGGTATTTTATGGAAGGCTATTTTTTTTCAGTCAAACAGGAGCAAATAAAGAGGAACAAAAATAAATGCAATCATCATGTGCTATTTTTTTTCTTCTTTTTTTAATCAGAACACCTGCTAATACATTAGATCAGTTTTAGGCTTTTTAAAGAACTTTTGTGACAGCCTTATATGACAAAATTGCAGTGTTTCAATCTTTAAGTAACAACGAGCTTTACCTTTTTCATACTGCTTTAAAGGCTCCTTCCTTTTTGGAAGTTTGCATTGGTTAAAGAATGAACATTACTTTTCGAGAGATCTATATTTATATATTATTTATATTAAAGAGCACTGTTTTATAATCTATTTTTTTACCTGCTTTGTTCTATACTGCCATATCCCAATCATTAGCAAGAAACGGATTAAACTCTAGATAGGTTGCCATTCTGATATATATAATGAAGCCAAATCGTCAAACATAACTGATTCTAATGTTTGTATTCAGACTTCTGTTATGATCAGGTACTTTTTCTATGCGTTTTATGTCAAGTGCAGTTTCTGTCTTGGTGTGCTTGCAGTTTTATTAATCCACTTTTTCAGTTAGCTCAACAAATGAATATATAATGCAGTACAATCAGCATGGCAGTAAAAAAATCCAAGTGTCTCCCTATGACAATATTGGTCAACGGAAGCATGTACAGTGAAAAGTATGGTTCCTGCCATATAACCCTATGAAAAATCCATTATAAACTCAATATTTTGCAGAAGACTTCGTCATTAGCCAAAGCAGATTAATGTATGTTGTTTTTTTTAGACTGTGGTACAAGTATCATTGGTGGTAGTCTGTATACCTGTTAGTGGTGCTCGGAAGAAACTTTGGTATCAAGTTAAATAACTAGATAGCTCATTAACTATCCTAAGCTTAACTGTGATTTAAAACTAAAATATAGAGAAGACCACAAAAGATGAGACGTTTTAGCAAATAATATAAATAAATCACAATTTAGGCTCCAAATGGACACTGCTCAAAACAAAAAGACAATTATAAATATTTTGAGAAGGAAACTTGAGTACCCAGAGAACAACAAATGTTCAATTTCTCATATTTGTGTTGCTGGACAGAAGTAAAGCCAAGACTGCAATGTATGAGGTGTTATTTTTAGGAAATAATGCTTTTGTCATATCTTTAACTACATTGTGCAACCACTTTTGTTATTATTTTGTTTATGAATGTTTAGTTAACTTATGAATATATTTAAATGAGAGATGCATCAAGATTCTCTTTATTTACATATATTTTCTTCTTTTTCAGATCTTCATGCATGGTGATCTCTGGCTCTGCAGGTGATCCTCAGTCACCATGAATGACTAGGCTCAGCTCTCCAAGGGAAATAATGGCCTGTTTTGTAATTTCCCTACCCTACCACCTGGCATGTGACTCCAGCTGCCTTTGAAGGGCCTGTCAGCTGTTTATGGGAACCATCACTGTGTTTGAACTCTTGGGGATTTAAGTTTTTTTTAAGACACAACTTTCTTTTTTCTAACCCCACTGT